AGATACTCCTCCATGTAGAAACCTTCAAACAAACACAGATATCCCTCCATGTAGAAACCTTCAGACAAACACAGATACCCCTCCATGTAGAAACCTTCAGACAAACACAGATATCCCTCCATGTAGAAACCTTCAGACAAACACAGATACTCCTCCATGTAGAAACCTTCAAACAAACACAGATATCCCTCCATGTAGAAACCTTCAGACAAACACAGATACCCCTCCATGTAGAAACCTTCAGACAAACACAGATATCCCTACATGTAGAAACCTTCAGACAAACACAGATACTCCTCCATGTAGAAACCTTCAAACAAACACAGATATCCCTCCATGTAGAAACCTTCAGACAAACACAGATATCTCTCCATGTAGAAACCTTCAGACAAACACAGATACCCCTACATGTAGAAACCTTCAGACAAACACAGATATCCCTCCATGTAGAAACCTTCCCTTAAACTACAGCATAACTCTCATTTTACACTTTAAACTACAGCATAACTCTCATTTTACACTTTAAACTACAGCATAACTCTCATTTTACACTTTGAACTACAGCATAACTCTCATTTTACTCTTTAAACTACAGCATAACTCTCATTTTACACTTTAAACTACAGCATAACTCTCATTTTACACTTTAAACTACAGCATGTTCCACTTTCTGTTGACTCAGCAAGTCTTCCTAACTTTTAATGTGTCTAGTAGTTTGTTTTTTCTCTTCAACTTTAGACGTTCCAAAGAAAATTGATAGATTCGACATCGATGTCCCCCCCCCCCAATAAATAAAAAGCCGTTTATTTCGTACGTGGGGTAAGTGTGATTGTCTATCGGTTAACAATAAACTTGTAAAATCATGGATGTGGAAGGTATATATTACCTTTAAGTCGCAAAGGTAAACGTGGAAATAAACTCTCTCTCTCCTGGCTTGGCATGCCTGGTGGTTAGGGTACTCGACTCGCAATTTGAAGGTTGCGGGTTCGAATCCCCGTCACCGAACATGCTCGCCGTTTCAGCGGTGGAGACGTCATAATGTGGCGGTCAATCCCTCTATTCATTGTTAAAAGAGTAGCCCAAGAGTTGGGAGTGTGTGTGTTGTTGGTTAGCTGTTTTCCGTCTAGTCTATCACTAATACCTTAGGGACGGCTAGCGAAGATAGCCCTCGTATAGATTTGCGCGAAATTCAAAACACAAACAAAACTCTCTCTCTCTCTTTGTAGTGGAAAATCTAATCAAAAAGTACTTCAACAGTGAATTTAAAGAATTAAAAGAGAGTCACTTAGATCCTCGGGCAATTTGATTCACATTAATCTTTGTCTCATAAGAATCGTTGACTAAGAATTCTCCACCAGGAGGCTTACTACGAAATCTTTAACATTTCGAAACTGTACATTCAATGTCTACGATTCAAAGGATACAGTTTAGCATATCTTGAATGGAGAGAATTTCATCCGTGTGGTAAAACCTTCGGAACTCCTTCCTGAGATCAAAGAATGAAAAGAAATAATCAGGAAGGGAAAGGTTCTTTTTGGTAGCTTCGGGATGAAGAACTTGTCGGAGGTGAAACTGACCGTCGGTGACCAGAAAAAAGTTTCTGTTACCATCATTATCGAACCTCGCTTTCACAAACTGGTCCAACTAGAGCATAGAAGAAGAAAAAACAATTTTTGTAAATAGACTTTTTTTTTTTTGATATTAAGAAGTTTAAAACTTTCATTACGCTCGTGTATGTTTGAATTGGAGTTAAACCACGTATTCTAGAGCTCACCTCTTCTAGGACGTTTTCAAGAGACTGCCCATTGTTTACAGATTCTTCGGTCAGTTGAAAAACAGATCTACAAGTGTCGGAGAGGAGGTTTTCATTGACGTCAGCACCTCTGGGTTTTACAAAGTGTTGTTGCACCACCACCACCTACAGAAACACATAAAACTTATAGGTTCCACTATCATAACCTACAGAAACATACAAAACTTATAGGTTCCACTACCACAACCTACAGATCAATACAAAACTTATAGATTCCACTACCATAACCTACAGAAACATACGAAACGTATAGGTTCCACTACCACAACCTACAGAAACATACAAAACTTACAGGTTCCACAACCACCACCTACAGAAACATACAAAATTTATAGATTCCACTAACACAACCTACAGAAACATACAAAACTTATAGGTTCCACTACCACCACCTACAGAAACACATAAAACTTATAGTTTCCACTACTACCACCTACAGAAACATACAAAACTTATAGGTTCCACTGCCACAACCGACAGAATCATACAAAACTTATAGGTTCCACTACCACAACCTACAAAATATCTACATTTTTCTTAATATTTCTACTTGGAGGGATATCTGTGTTTGTCTGAAGATTTCTACATGGAGGGATATCTGTGTTCGTCTGAAGGTTTCTACATGGAGGGATATCTGTGTTTGTCTGAAGTTTCTACATGGAGGGATATCTGTGTTTGTCTGAAGGTTTCTACATGGAGGGGATATCTGTGTTTGTCTGAAGGTTTCTACATGGAGGGATATCTGTGTTTGTCTTTTAAACTACAGCATAACTCTCATTTTACACTTTAAACTACAGCATAACTCTCATTTTACACTTTAAACTACAGCATAACTCTCATTTTACTATAACTCTCATTTTACACTTTAAACTACAGCATAACTCTCATGTTACACTTTGAACTACAGCATAACTCTCATTTTACTCCTTAAACTACAGCATAACTCTCATTTTACTCTCCACTTTTAACTATTGCATAACCGTATCCTCATCGGTCTTTACCGATTTGTTGCTACTAGCTCAACTTAAGGGACGCAAGGTACTATTGTAATGGTTAATATTGTTGGGCTGTTTTTTTCGTATTACAATGCAAAATCTAACTTGGTTAGTGTTTACTTCAAGTTCTACGGTTTTTAACATTCGCCTAACTATATAAAATAAATAATGCCTGAACAGAAATTCCACTTACTTGCTAATTTCGCGTTTTTATATACTTTGTCCCGAGTACATACTCAAAATTGACAGCAATGAACTAACTAAATGGCTTAGGGCAACAGACACATTGACTATGTCATGCAATGCTTATTCGTTAGCTGACTAATAGACTCGTTTACACCTCGATGCTCTATTGTAACTGACTTACTTGTTAACTCTAGTGAAACTTTCTCTTTAAATCTGGTTCATTGTTCTAGTAAAAAATTAGACTATGTGATATTTACTCATCACGTAACCTCAAACCTCCATCTGGCCAAACAACAATACAAACATCTACATTAAAAACATAGTCTAACCGATATAACAACAGAGTTCATTTGGAATACCTTGAGAAACGATCTGAAATGCTCTATTTGTTCGTTGTGTCCTTTCGTGGTCACTGGTTGTTACGTATCTTAGCGTCAGTTGGGAGAAAAATCTTTTTGTTTGTTGTGAGTGCTGTGTGTGTGAATAAATCTTAAAAGCTCAAAGTCACGATTTCAATATTTAAATAAAAAAAAGATATTTTATAAATGAAAATGTTTATTAGCCTGGAATCCTGCCCTCTCGAGGAAGTTGCACTACAAAATGTTGATGTAGCGAAAAGATTCTTCATTCTTCAGTAGCTGTTGAATTTCTTATAACTATACGTAAACCCTATTTTTACATTCCATTGTGCAACATGCCACCTTCATTTCATTGTAATTTCAATGCAAAAATTTCTCCAAACCGTTAACATGGGTTTATAACACGATAAAGTTGTCATGTACTAATATAGGTCTAGTTATAACAACGAACGATAAAGTTGTAAAGTAGGCCTAGTTATAATAACTTACGATAAGCCTAGTTGTAAGAACGTCCGATAAAGTTGTAAAGAGGCCTAGTTATAAGAACTTACGATAAGCCTAGTTATAAGGACGTACGATAAAGTTGTAAAGTAGGCCTAGTTATAAGAACTTACGATAAGCCTAGTTATAAGGACGTACGATAAAGTTGTAAAGTAGGCCTAGTTATAAGAACTTACGTAAGCCTAGTTATAAGGACGTACGATAAAGTTGTAAAGTAGGCCTAGTTATAAGAACTTACGATAAGCCTAGTTATAAGAACGTCCGATAAAGTTGTAAAGAAGCCTAGTTATAAGAACTTACGATAGGCCTAGTTATAAGGACGTACGATAAAGTTGTAAAGTAGGCCTAGTTATAAGAACGGATATTGAATTAGGTGGCGTTTTAAAAAGTGAATGTAAATAAATGACCATGAAGAAATAGATGAAACACGCTATTTGAAATCTATTTCAGAGCTCAAATGATCCTTTAATTTAATTTATGATTAATTGAAAAATTGAAAATAATCTCTTTCTGGGTATTTGAAATTTGTTTTAAATTAACGTTAGACTATAACACAAAGCCTAGAATTCATGCATCTAACAATCAGATGCTTGGAAAGATAATCTTGCGCATGTGCACAATGATGCCAGAAAAGTTAAAAGAGAGAGAGAGAGAAAAAAAAATGTATGATACATCAGTCTTTATATAGCTTATAGTTTACAAGAAATATAATAAAATTCAGTTATGTCGTCTACTTTAACCACTGCGAACAGAATGAATTTTTTAGTATTCTCTGTCAATCACCATAGTTTTTTGTTTGTTTGTTTGATTTCGCGCAAAGCTACTCGAGACAGTGGCTCAGAAACAGAATGAATTATTGCTCCTCCTAGATTTATGTAGAGGAAGCAAGTAAATGAAATAGTAAGGAAACCAAAACAATAATTAAGCTTCCAATCTAGAGATTGTCAATTTTCATTCGTCAAACTTTTCTAATATATATATATATTATAGTGTCTGTCGCTAGTTGCTCATTAACAATAGGTCTTTCTGACAAAAAAGAAGTTACTGTTTACTACACAGAGGCTATCTGCACTAGACGTCCCTAATTTTGAAGTAACAAATTAGAGAAAAAGCAGCTAGTGAATATTACCCATCGCCAACTCCTAGGCTAGTCTTGTCAGCTCAGATAGTGGGATTTAATTGTCATTCTTATAACGCACCCACGGCTCCAAGATGCATAACAATATTTGTTTTGTTTTTTCTATAACGGAAGGCGAACCTCAGCTCCACAGTCCTGCACGATAACCACCAGACCGTGCTCAGCTCCAAAATGGCCGTTTTACTGGGCTAACATAGAGATCAAAATGGTCATTTTAATGGGGGTTTAAATATAGGTTAAAATGGTCGTTTTACTGGGGCTAACTTATAGATCAAAACACAGTCAAGAAAAATTGAACTACACTGACCTGTGACAGCATTTCAAAATTAACGTCGAAACAAATGTACTGATACATCATCAAAAATTCCTGGCCTCAGTTACAGTTTCCTTACTGTATCATTTTTAACTAATGACGTCAGTTCAAGTAACAATAACTCCGTGATAAAATGACAGGGTTATTCTGCTAAGAAAGATATCTTCAGTCTGAACGGCGCCTGTTCAAGAGATATATCGTGGCAGTTATTTTGGTTTTACATCTCAAACAAACCCCAGAGGGGCTTGGGAGACAACCAGGGGCGCTCAGAAACTGTAGTTTCTCTTCAGCCCCACACGCGGAGTTAGGATATTGACGAGAGCGCTAGATTTTTTCGATTCGGAGGTAATATAATGGATGAACATTTCTATTGTGGGTTTGTTTCCCTATACTAGTTGAGCGTGTGGAAAAGCTGTCAAGTTGTGAAGAAGAGTGAAGAATAAGCGTTTATCTGCTTGGATAGACGCGTCGAATCGTTGAAGTCGGAGCACGTGGTGCAGATACAGACGTCTTTAATTTTATGCTGCTGACCAGAGGGGGAGAAACCACTCAGCAACACCCGTCCACTCAAAAAACGAGTAACCTTCGCTGAACAGCGGATTTGTTACTTTCATAACAAAAGTGCCCATTGCTGAAAGTGCGAAGCGTGCAAACGACGAATCGTAGGATCGAACGATAAAAACCAGTATAGAGATGTTATCACTGTTATTAGATAGTTTGACAGATGGGTGGATTGATAATACTAAAATGAGAAATGAGTTCCAACCTGTAAAAGAATAACCAGTTTTTAACTAACACAATAAAAAGAAATTGAAAAATGAAACCTGAATTTTACGGTTAGTTATATCTTGTAAGCTGAAGAAGAAATCTATTAGACAAATCTGACCACGTTTACTCAGTGGGTATGTTATGGTAAAGATAAATATTAATAAATGCACTTGTTAACATACTTTTCGGACACACTGTACAAATTTCTCGCATACTATACATTATAGGGTGAACAATTTTAATAGTGAGGGGAGGTCTAAAAATCATTGATTAAACTTGCAACCTGAATGGAAACCACACGTGCGGAGTAACTCACTAAAAACCGGTCACTCCGGTCAGAAAGCAAGCACGTGACAAAGCTAAGATTTATCATTACACTCTTCAAAAAAGACCACCAGACGGTGCGCTGTACCCCCCTACTTCAGGTCAGGAATGGGTGGGATATCCCACCACCACTAGTCGTTCCATTACCCTTGTATTAACACGACTTACATCTCAACTAGTAAATAAACCTTCGCGAATTTAAAACTACGGTGTGTAAGTTAGAAGCTGAATTTTCGTTAAAATTTTCATTGGTATATCAGTTGTATTTATTCATCTGTTGACTTGCTGCGTGTTTCAAATCACTCAGTTAAAGAGGGGTTAACGAACGACTAAAAATGAAAAGATAATTTTAGTGTCAAGACAGGACACAGATGACGTCATAAATGGAAAATCTAAATTTTAAAATCGCGGTCGTCAAAACTGAAATTTTCCTTATCTTGACTTGAAAGACAAATAATCATGAACATCAGTCTAGTTGTTTTTATGAAATATTACCCATAACCACTTGAGTAGTTCTTTTC